GATCAACCATGGTTCAATGAAGAGTGCAGGAGGGCATGCTAGGAGCAGCACCAGGCATACCTGAAGATGTGGTATCAATTGGGTGAAGCCACCAAAAAGGACTACTTGCATGCCAAACAGCGAAAGCAGCAAGTGATAGGACTCAGTGATCCCACAACCAACGGATCAGATCTAAGCTCTGCAGTCTGCTGCAGTTGTGAATGATGGTGGACAATTAAACAACTCACTGGAGGAGGAGGCTCCACAAATATCCCATCCTCAATGATGGAAGAGCCCAGCACATCAGTGCAAAAGGTAAGGCTGAAGCATTCACAGCAATCTTCAGCCAGAAGTGCTGAGTGGATGATCATTTCGGCCTCCTCCAGTGGTCCCCAGCATTACAGATACCAGTCTTCAGCCAATTCAATTCACTCCATGTGATATCAAGAAATGGTTAGAGACACTGGATACTGCAAAGGCTACAGGCCCTGACAGCATTCCGGCAATAGTACTGAAGACTTGTGCTCCAGAACTTGCTGCTCCGTGAGCCAAGCTGTTCCAATACAGTTACAACCTTGGTATCTACCCAGTAATGTGTAAAATTGCCCAACTATGTCCTGTACACAAAAAGCAGGACAGATCCAACCCGGCCAATTACTGCCCCATCAGTCCACTCCTGACCATCAGTAAAGTGATGCAAGGTGTCATCAACAGTGCTATCAAGCAGCACGTGCTCAGCAGTAACCTGCTGAGGTGCCAAGTTGGAGTTCCACCAGGGCCGCTCAGCTCCTGATCTCATTACAGCCTTGAGTCAAACACCAACAAAAGAGCTGAATTCTAGAGGTGAGGTGAGTGTGATAGCCCTTGATATCAAAGCTGCATTTGACAGAGTGTGGAATCAAGGAGCCCTGGCAAAACTGGAAACAATGAGTATCAGGGGGCAAACGCTCCGGTGATTGGAGTCATACCTGACACATAGGAAGGTGGTTGTGGTTGTGGAAGGTCCATCATCCCAGATCTAGGACATATCTGCAGGAGTTCCTCAGTGTCCTTGGCCCAACCATCTTCAGCTGCTTCATCAATGACCTTCCCTCCATCATAAGGTCAGAAGTGGGGATGTTTGCTAATGATTGCACAATGTTCAGCACCATTCGTCACTCCTCAGATACTGAAGCAGTCTATGTTCAAATGCAACAAGATCTGGACAATATCCAAGGTTGGGCTGACAATTGACAAGTGACATTTGTGCCACACAACTGCCAGGCTGTGACCATCACCAATAAGAGACAATCTAACCACTGCCCCTCAGCATTCAGTGGTGTTACCATCACTGAATCCCCCGCTATCAACATCCTGGGGCTACCATTGACCAGAAACTGAACTAGATTCACCACATTAACAGAGTGGCTACAAGAGCAGGCCAGAAGCTAGTAATACTGCGGCAAGTAACTCACCGCCTGACTCCTCAAAGCCTTTCAGCCATCTACAAGGCATAAGTCAGGAGTGTGATGGAATATTCCCCACTTGCCTGGATGAGTGCAGCCCCAACAACACTCAAGAAGCTTGACACCATCCAGGACAAAGCAGCCCGCTTGCTTGACATTGCATCCGCAAGCATTCATTCCCTCCACCACCGACGCTCGGTAGCAGCAATGTGTGCTATCTACAAAATGCACTGCAGAAATTCACCAAAGATCCTCAGACAGCACCATCCAAACCCACGAACACTTCCATCTAGAATGATAAGGGCATCAGACATATGGGAGCACCATCACCTGCAAGTTCCCCTCCAAGCCATTCACTATCCTGACTTGGAAATATATCCCTGTTCCTTCACTGTTGCTGGGTCAAATTCCTGGAATTCCATCCCTAATGGCATTGTGGGTCAACTCAGTAGGAGGACTGCAGCAAAGAAGAAGGCAGCGCACCACCACCTTCTCAAGGGCAGCTAGTGATGGGCAAGAAATGTTGGCTCGCCAGTGACACCCACATTCCACGCATAAATAGAAAAAAAATGTCAGAGCTAACGTTTGGGGTCGAGTGACCCTTCCTCAGACCTAATGGTAGCTAGGAAAATGTCGGTTTATATGCAGAAGACGGTGATGGGAGGGGATAAGGAGTAAATGATAGGTGGGGATAGAGACCAAAGAGAGAACCAAAATTGGACAGTCAAAGTGGGTAACGATCTGTCCAGCAGGGTTAATGGCTGTTAATGGTGTCTAATAATGGGCTGTGTATAATAGCGGACAGGCTGGGGTAAAGACTTGGGAGAGCTCAAGCCTTAACGGTCAGAAGTCACACAACACCAGGTTATAGTACCACAGTTTTATTTGAAATCACAAGGTTTCAGAGTGTTACTCCTTCGTCCACCCCAGTCCAACATTGGCACCTCCACTTTAAGGCCTCAAGTTCTTGAACTCCATATTGAGTCTGGGGCGCTGCAGGCTCCCCAAGTGGAAAATGAGGTGCTGTTCTTCCAGCTTGTGCTGAGCTTTGCTGGAGACTGAGACGTTGGTCAGGGAACAGGGTGGTCTGTTGAAGTGGCAGGTAGCTGGAAGCTTAGGGTCTTTTTTGCGAACAGAACTCGTGTTTTGTGAAGTGGTCACCCAGGCTATGCTTTGTTTCCCCTGCTCCTGCTCCGCAGAACTCATCTCTTCCTACCTTCACTCAGTCTTTTCTGCCTGGTTCAGTCCCTGCCCACATACATCTGCAATCCCTTGGACACTTTAAGCCAGTTTCAGAATTTTCAGTTTGTTGGCTCCAGCCACCTCTACCATGAACGTGCAATCCCTTTACACGCCCACCCTCACCAGGATAGTCTCAGGGCTTTCTGCTTTTTCCTGGAACAAAGGTCTGAGCCGTCTTCGTCCACCATCAGCCTCCTCCGTCTTGCTGAACTTGTCCTCTCCCTGAACAACTTTTCTTTTAACTCCTCTCGTCATCTTCAGAGCAGAGGGGTGGCCATGGGTACGTGCATGGGCCCCAGATATGCCTGTCTGTTTGTCGGGTACATGGGACATTGCTTGCTCTTCCCTATTCCTGTCCCCACCCACAACTATTTCTTTGGTATCAGTGATATCATTGGTGCTGCTTCCCTTGTTTCATTTCTGTCGCATTTGTTCTGATGATGCCCAACTTTGACAAGGGAGTCTCCGAAATGTCCACATTCTTCCTCAACTGAGGATTCCCCACCGCTTGTTGACAGGGCCCTCAGTTGGATCCGACCTATTTCCCGCATTTCAGGCCTCACCCCCCTCTTCCTTTCTGCAACAGTGCTAGGGTCTCCCTTGTCCTCACGTACCATCCCACTATCATCCACATATACAAGATCATTAGGCAGCATTTCTACCACCTCCAGCAAGATGTCGCCACCAGACACACGTTCTGCTCCCTTCCCTTTTCAGCCTTCTGCAGGGACCGTTTGCTCTGGAACACCCTGGTCCACTCTTCCACTCCTGGCACAGCCTCACGGCACCTTCCGCTGCAGCTGCAGAAGGTATAACATCTGACCATCTATTGCTTCCCTCCTCAGTATCCCAGGACCAAAACACAACTTTAGGTGAAAAAACACTTTACCTACACTTCCCACAATCTAGTCTACTGCATTTGCTGCTCACAATGTGGTTTTCTCTCAATGGGGAAACAAAGTGTAGACTGGGTGACTGCTTCGCAGAACATCTACATTCTGTTTGCAACCCTGAACTTCCGGTTGCCTGCCATTTCAACACACCACACCACCCTGTTCTCTGAGCAACGTCTCTGTTTCAGGTTTGTTATAGTGCTCCAGAGAAGCTCAGTGCAAGCTGAAAGAGCAGCACCTTATTTTCTGCTTGGGGACACTGCAGCTTTTGGGACTCCGTATCGAGTTCAATAACTTTTTCGGGCTTGAACTCTCCCATGTCCTTAGCCCAACCCCCACAAACCAGGCCTTGTTATCACATTCAAGACAACAAGGTGCAGAGCTGGATGAACACAGGCCAAGCAGCATCATAGGAGCAGGAAGGCTGATGTTTCCGGCCTAGACCCCTCATCAGATTGTCTGTCACACACCACCCATTGTTAGTCACTAATGGTCTCCACTAACAGTTATTCACCCTCCTAGCCTGATCATTATCCATTCCTTTGTCTGTCTAACTGCTCTTCTGTCTCTTTAGGCTCTATCCCCACCTATCGTTCACTCCTTAGCCCCTCACCCCACCCTATCTTCTGCAAATAAACACCATTTTCCTAGCTACAAAAACAGAAGTTGCTGGAAAAGTTCAGCAGGTCTGGCAGCATCTGAAGAAAAATCAGTTTTGTTAACTGATTTCTCTCTTCACAGATGCTGCCAGACCTGAGCTTTTCCAGCAATTTCTATTTTTGTCTCTGATTTACAGAATCCCCAGTTCTTCTGGGTTTTATTTAATGCATTGTAGTTTGTAAAGATGAATCAGCAAGGACTCTTGGTTTAGGTACAGCTGACTTCAGTGTGATGAGACAGATCGTCCCAATGAAATTAGGCAGATCTGACCGATTGGATAAAAATTTAACTCTGATGGAGAAGAGAAAGTTATGGTGAATTGTTGCCTTTCAGAGAGCAGGATGGTAGGTACTGTGTACCCAAAGACTCCTTGCAACGACTACTCAATTTTCATGTATAGAAATGAATTGGGTATTGGAATTTTGAGTAAAATTTGCTGGTAGCTTAAAGGAAGAATTGGAAGCTGTGAGGATGATACTAATTGATAAGAACAGTACAAAGGCTAAAAGAATCATGAAGATGAATGGCACTTGGAATTTAAAACGGAGAAGTGAGTGGTGATGCTTTTTGGCAGAAGACTGCAACTTTGAACGTGGAATGGCTTCTCCATTTGATTGTTGCCCACATCACCTTAGTGGGATTTATAGACACAGGCGTGCTTAGATATTAAGATGCCCTAGTCTGTATAATTTTTAAAAAAATATGCACTTCGTGACTGATTCAGATTGAGTGCTTCTTAATTTCTAAGGCACAAACTAATTTTCTCCCTTTTCTCCCTCAGTGGCTTAATCGTACCCGAGAAGAATGGGAATGTGACTGTACCTGAAGTTGTTTCAAGATCTGGTTATGCTTTACTGCATTTTTTCAGTGATGCTGCCTATAATCTAACTGGATTCAACATAGCATATAGGCAAGTATCAAACAATATGTAAAGCAAAATAAAGAAGTGTGGAGTAGTTTGCAGGTTCAGCAAGTCTTATTTACTGTGGATTGGTACGTTGTATACTGCAAGAATGAATTCTTCCTGTTTTACTTTGTTAAACTAATTTTAAGGTACTTCAAAGCGGGCAACATTATCCCAACACCAACCCCTATGAGGGTGCTAAGCTCATATTTTGCAGGATGGTATGATGCTCTTTCACTTGTATTCGTGTAAAGTTATATGGTTTTTATTAAGATAAAATATGCTGGCAACATCTAAGTCCCCTGTAGCTATACAAATTTTCTACAATTTACAGGGTATTACACTATTTAAAGAGTAACCGTACAAAAAGTGAAGATGTTAAAATATTACATTTATTGTTAAAATATATGTTGTAAGACACTACTTGGCAAGGCTTGCCAGTTCTGAAGTAGTCCTATCCTTCTGGCTTTATAAAAAGCCCTGAGTATGAGTTATAATATGGGCAGCAGAGATTTTGATGGTAGAAGATGGAACCTGAACAGGACAAAGCTGCCATAATTTCCTGGAGGTGGGAAAAACAAGAATGAAAGTTGCACCACTGAGATAAAACATTTACGATATAGAGTTGCATTTCTGTGATGGGGAATGTACAGAGCTAAAGTACAGCTGTAAGACTGACCTGTATTCGACATTGTGGAAAATTGCTTGGACATGTCCATTTCACAGAAGAAGCAAGTCTAATTCAATTATGTTAACTATCAACGCTTTACTTTGAATTATTGGTAAGGTCATGGAAAGGCTGTCATCAGTGCTTCATTGCCTGACTGATAATTTGCTGTCAATTCTGTTTGGGTTCTCCAAGAACTGTACAGCTCCAGATCTCATTTCAGCCATTAGTCGAAACATAGATTAAAGAACTGACTTCCAATGGTGAAGTGTCCTTGCCACCAAGGCAGCATTTGACCAAGTGTGGCATCATGGAGTCTTAACAAAATTTAAGTCATTGGAGCAAGAAGGAAAGTTCTCCACTGGCTACCGTCATAAATAACAGAAAGAAAATTGATTGTGTTTGTTGGAAGCCAATTATCTTCTCTCCAGAAGCGGAGGAATGAAACTGCAGGAGTTCCTTCCAGTCGTCTTCTAGGTCTAACCATTTTCAGCTGCTTCATTGATGTGTTATCCTCCATCATAAGGTCAGACCTGGGGATATTTACTGGTTGTTGGGCAGTGTTTTGTTCACGATTGTAACTCTTCAGCTACTGGAGCAGTTCATACCGCATGCAGCAGGACCTGGTCAAAAGTCAGATTTGTAACAAGCAAGTAACTTTCACACCACATATATACCAGGCAATGACTATTTACAAGAAAAGAGAATCTGACCATCTCCCCTTGTCATTTTCATAGTATTACCACTGCTGAATTCCTCTCAGTAGCATTATTTGTGCACCATTGACTAGGAAATGAATTGGACTAGCCATATCAACACAAATGTTGACAGTAGTGGTGAGTAACTCACCTACTGACTCTTCAAAAACAAACCTGTTCACTGTGTACAAGGCATAAGTCAAGCGTGACATGAAATACTGTTTGCACGGACAAGGGTAATCTCTAAATCTTTTGAAACTTGGTATAAAATAGGCTAAAGCAGCTTGATCAGCAGTTCACCCATTACCTTTAACATTTTCTCACCAGCTGAGCACAGTGTCATGAGTATGCACTGGCTGTAAGATGCATCATAGCAACTCACTAAGCCTCCTCCTAAAGAGCTTTGTCAGGTCAGTGAAGTGAATGCATGGCTCAAAGACTAGCGTGAGAGAAGTCGGTTCTGGCCTGTGGGACATTGGCATTTGAACTGGGCAAAAGTTGGGACAGTCTGCACTTAAACCTTTCTTATCTACTGTTCCTCTAGACTTTATAAGTAGCAAAGTAGAGACCTCTTTAAACTATAGAGGTGTGGAATCAGGCTTGGGTAGATGCAGCAAATCAAGGAGTAGAGTCAAGACAGTCAAATAGTGGTATGAGGAATGAAGGTTGGAGCAAATCAAGTCAACAATCAAGACTAGATGTTAGTGAGTTAACAAAGAAAAACTTAGAGGCTCTGTACTGGAATACATGCAGCATTCATAACAAAGTAAACTAACCGATAGTGTACATCAAAGTAAATAAATGTGATCTGATAAGCATTTTAGAGAAATGGTTGCATGACGATAGGGATTGGCCCCTGAATGTTGAGGGGTATGTGGCACTTGAGAATAATAGAAAGATCAGTAAGGGTGGAGAGGTAGAACTGTTGATCAAGAATGGCATTTGTGCAAGAGTTAGAGACTATATTGGTTTTGGAAATTAGGATCTAGAATCTGTTTTGGTGGAAATAAGGAACAGAGGAAATAGGCCACTGGTGTGGATGATCTCTCCCACCCACTTCACCACCACCACCACCACCACCAAGTTATCATAATGCAGGCTGAAAGGTGCAACTGATGTTTCTTCTAGTTTGTGATAAAGGACAACAATAATCATGGGCAATTATAATTTGCATATAAATTGGACGTGAAGGGCTGAAGGGATCATAGAATGATTTTGAGATTCTTAGAGCAGCGCATTCTGGGATCAACCGGAGAGCAGATTATATTAGACTCTGTATTCAGTGATATGACAAGATTAATTAATGACTTCAGTGCTGAGGTATATGTAGGTTGCAGTGACCACAATACGATTAAATTTTACATCTATTTTGAAATGGAAGAGTATTGGCCTAAGTCGAGTATTTTAAATGAAAATAAAAGCAACTGTGTGGGATAAAAGCTCAGTTAGCTTGTGTCAACTGGGGTGCTAGGCTAGGGGACAGATCAATTGAAAAGCAGTGGCAGACAATTAAGGGGGCGTATTTCAGAATACTCAGTATAACTACCTTCCTCTTCAAATATTTTATAGAAGGAATACTTATCATCCATGTTGAGAAAAGCTTGAAACTTAAGGAAAAAACAAACAACTGCACAAAGAGGAGTGATAGGCTCAGCTTTCTGGAATTGTAATAAATGACTGGATGAAAGGAGTGGAAGCATAGGAGCAAAATTAGCAGATGACTCAAAGATCAGTAAGAAATTATTTTGAGAAGAGGCCATCAGGAGGTTGCAGATGGATGCAGATAGGTTGTGCATAAATCTGGGTGACAGAGTATAATGTGGGAAAAATATGAAGTTTACTTTGGCAGGCAAATTAAAAAGCAGAGTATTACTTAAATAGAGGAGGACTAAAGAATTTCAAAGTGGAATGTTCTTGTGCATGCATCTCACCATGTTAGTTTGCAAGTACTATTGGTAATTAAGGCTCAGATACGGCTGGAGCTGGGAAGTAAAAATGTCATGGTTGTGAGACAGAGCATTGATGAGAATACACTAATAGCACTGGGTTTATCTGTACCACAAAGACTATAGTGGTTCGAGGTGATAGCTCACCATACCTTTTCGAGAGCTATTAAGGACAGACCATAAACTTCAAGCATTTTCTCTTGCTCAAATCACGCTGAAGCATCTCGACATCCTCCTTACAGCTCACCCTTCCACTCCACTTTGTGGTCTCTGCAAATTCCAGAGGTGAGGTGAGAGTGATAGCCCTTGACATCAAGGTTGCATTCAACCGGGTGTGGCATCGAGGAGCTCTAGCAAAACTGGAATCAGTGGGTATCGGGGGCAGTCTCTTTGGTGGTTCAGGTCATTGCTCGCACACAGGAAGATGGTTGTGGTTGTTGGAGGTCAATCGTCTCTGTAGGATCTCCTCAGCGTAGTGTCCTTGTCATAATCATCTTCAGCTGCTTCATCAATGATCTTCCCTCCCGCATAAGATGAGAAGTGGGGATGTTTGCCGACAATTGCACAACGTTCAGCACCATTCGTGACTCTTCAGATACTGAAGCAGTCCGTGTTCACGTGCAACAAGATCTGGACAATATCCAGGCTTGGACTGATATGCCAGGCTATGACTATCACAAATAAGAGACTATCCAACCACCCCTCCTTGGCATTCAATGGTGTTACCATCACTGAATCCCCCACTATCAACATCCTGGGGTTATCATTGACCGGAAACTCAACTGGACTCACCACACTAACAGAGTGGCTACAAGAGCAGGCCAGAAGCTAGGAATACTGCGGCGAGAAACTCCACTCCTGACTCCACAAGGCTTGTCAATCATCTACAAGGCACAAGTCAGGAGTGTGATGGAATACTCCCCACTTGCCTGGATGAGTGCAGTCCCAACAACACTCCAAGAAGCTTGACACCGTCCAGGACAAAGCAGCCCGTTTGATTGCATTACATCCACAAGCGTTCACTCCCTCCACCACTGATGCTCAGTAGCAACAGTGTGTGCTATCTACAAGATGCACTGCAGAAATTCACCAAAGATCCTCAGACAGCACCTTCCAAAGCAATGACCACTTCCCTCTAGAAGGACAAGGGCAGCAGATATATGGGAACACCACCACCTGCAAGTTCCCCTCCATGCACTCACCATCCTGACTTGGATATATATCGTTGTTCCTTCTCTGTCGCTGGATCAAAATCCTGGAATTCCCTTCCGAACGGCATTGTGGGCCGACTCATAGCAGGTGGACTGCAGCGGTGACACCTTCTCAAAGGCAACTAGTGACGGGAAATAAATGCTGGGCAGCCAGTGACGCCCACGTCCCCGAAATGAATAAAAAGAGCATTTGGAGATGTTACGTTTGATTTCCTCATGCTAATTGTTAATATATATTGTAAGTAACTCGGTTCCTAACACTGAACCTTGTGGTAGCGCCCCAATCACTGTCTGCCATTTGGAAAAAGACCCAATAATTCCTACTCTTTGTTTCTTGTCTGCCAACTTGTTTCCTATCCATTTCAATATCCTACCCCCACTTCCATGTGCTTTAATTTTATACACTAATCTCTTGTATGGAACTTTATAGCAGGCCTCTAAGTACAAATAAACCACATCGACTGGCTTCCATTTATCAATTATA